GGACGGGAGGATGTACTCTGGCACAGACAGGAACTGGAAATACAGGGAATCCAGGACAGATGAAGTCCTCAGGACCAGTGGTGAGAGTGGCGATACCAGGAGGGTGGAGAGAAGGTGAGGGAGAAAGGGGGAACAGATTACAGGGATCTATATATAACCCCCTCCCTGGGGGATGGACAGCGGAAAAGTGGGTGAAGGGAGACGTCAGATGGTGTAAGATATGACAAAATAATAGTTCATAAATTATCAAGGGTTCATAAAGGAGGGAGGGGAAAAATGAGCTGATACCAAGGGCTCAAGTAGAAAGCAAATGTTTTGAGAATGATGATGGCAACAAATGTATAAATGTGCTTGACACAATAGTTGGATGTATGGATTGTGATAAGAGTTGGACAAGCCCCCAATAAAAATGATTTTTTTAAAAAAAACAGGCCAAATGAGCCAATCTTAGTATCCAGTCTACTGAGGTTATCAAACACTGCATCCTCCCCCACCCCCACCCCTGCCCCACGTGCCAAATTCTCAGAGGCGTAAAGCAAGAGAATGAATCAGAACCTGCTTAGACGTCATGATTCCCAGAACTCGGTCTTGAGGTTCTCTGTGCCATGAGGAGATGCTCCCTGAGGGGCTTCATGGGCGTACTTGGGCTTTGCCTTGGCTGTGGCCCACATAGAGAAGAATGGCTAACACATCGGTCAGTCATTTTTGTGTTCGCACCTCAGTTTCCAGTGCTGCCTTCTCTGTGGATCAGCAGGACTGATGCATAGATATGTGCTTGGGTTTGCCTAGTCCTGTATTGCCTAAGAAGTGTAAACTTCACATATACCCAGGGGAAATTCAAATGGTCGTTTGTAATCAAAGGAGAGCGTAACACAAATAATCCCTGAAGTGCTTGCTTGCTGTTCCTTAATGTTCCCCGATAAAATCCCTACTCCCCACTCTGATGAGTAACTATTTGTTGTTGTTTTTACGCTGTCGGTTTTTCCCCATTCAGAATTAAGGAACTAGAAACCACTCTGGGTATTTAAGCAGGAAGGGATTTGATACAGGGAGTTCAGTACTAACAAATTTAAGGTGCTAGGAGCAGAGTGGCACTGCCTGGTAGATTTTCCTGGGAGGTGGTCCTTACAGGAGCAGATCACCCCATCTTTTTTTTTAAATCATTTTATTAGGGGCTCTTACAACTCTTATCACAATCCATACACACATCAATTGTGTAAAGCGCATTTGTACAT